TGAGAAATCAAAATCACTAAAAGCTTTTACTCATATCTCTAATCACTATAACCTCTTCAGTGTTGTCCCCAAATTTCTCTGGTTGCTCAGGCATTGCATCAAAGAACATTCCAAGAAACTACAAAGAACATTATGTCAAAGAACATTATATCAAAAAACATTCCACCATCGTCGCCTAGCTGATAGACATTTACAATTGGAAGAATCAATTTCTCAAAAATGTGATCAAAAGAGGCTGGTTGGACCATGGTGGTGCATGTCTTTAATCACCTACATGGGAGGCAGAGGTAGGTGGATCCCTGAGTTCAGCCTGATCTACATACCAGAGCAGCCAGAACTACACAGAGAGACCATGTCCCAAGAAAACAAAAGAAAAACAAAACAAAACAAAAAAACAGGCAAAAGAAAGAGCTATCTACATTACAGGACTGCAAAGCTTTCTATTTTCACTTTCCTAACCCTTGTACATAAATGATGTGGGTGAAGCTTCAATATCTTATTTGGAAGTTTTCTTTCATTTTATATTACAAATACTTTACTATATAATAGATATTATTTTTACAAGTGTTTCCCTGTATGATTATAAAGTTTCCACTTATCACTCAGGATGGTTACAGAACGGTTCGTTGATTTGATGAACTTCACTCAGCTCATGCTTTTCTGATATTGGACCTTTAGGCGCTTTTCAGATCCTCTCTAAAACAGGCGGTGCTGCAGCAAACACCACGATACATAAAGCTTTGTTCCTTTATAGCATCATTTCTGTATGAACAATTCCCAAGAGAGAAATCTTTCCATCAAAATATAAACCTTCAAACGCGCCATCCCACATCCCTCTTTTAAACAGACAACTTCTAGTTCCTGGTCACTTCAACTTATAGGCAAGGGGACAGGGGACATCTCTGTGTAGCTTGTGGGAGACACAATTTCTCAAAAATCTACTCTAACATTCAAAGCAAGGCTTGTACCCAGGCTCAGTTCTGCCCCTCGGTTTCCATTCCCCCTCACTGATGAGTGCTGTTGGAGCGGCTGTCTCTTCCGAGCCTTGCCTTTCCGTTCAGCCTGTGCTTCCGCTCTACTTGGCATGAGTATATCCCTCTCCTTGCTCTAGAGGAAGCTTTCCAACTGCCATAGTTCCCCACCCTCAACATCTCCCTGTGAAGCACTCTTTCCCTGACTTCTCTAGCTTCTTCAGTGCCCAGTATTTCTCTGTGTGGCCACTACTCATAGTCTTCCTACCTAGAAAAAGTTAAATCTTTCCAAAGGAAACTAGAAATTTTTCATGGTACGACACAAGAAAAGTTTTGAGAAGAATATTAACCGGGTTGGCATGTATTGCCCCCTCCCCAAGATAAAAGTAAGGTTTGTCTTCCTTTAGAAAATGTGGTGAGTTTAAAAGGCTTCTGTTTAGTTAATGTAAGTTCACATGCAGCCAAGGTGACCATCAGCCTCCTACAAGGATAATTCTCACTGACATCTCCAAGGACGATAAGAAGCCCTTGAAACTTGGCAGCAATTAAGAATTGGCTAAAAGTAACTAACAATCTAAGCAATAGTGGAGAGGACACCTCAAAGCCCTTCTCGGATAATGAGATTGATGACTACCTTAAATGCCATCCTAGAGCCTTCATCCAGTAGCTGATGGAAGCAGAAGGAAACACCCACAGCTAAACACTGATCTGAACAACTGGAATCCAATTGCAGAGAGGGAGGAGTGATGAGCAAAAGGGTCAAGACCAGGCTGGAGAAACCCACAGAAACAGCTGACCTGAATAAGGGTGATCTCGTGGACCCCAGACTGACAGCTGGGAAACCAGCATAAGACTGATCCAGACCCGCTGAATGTGGATGTTAGTTTGGAGGTCTAGTTAATCTATGGGGCCTCTGGTAGTGGACCAATATTTATCCCTAGTTCAGGAATGGACTTTGGGAGCCCACTCCACATAGAGGGATACTCTCTCAGCCTAGATACCTAGACACACACAGGGGAGAGTCTAGGCCCTGCTCCAAATGATATGTCAGACTTTGAAGATCCCCCAAGGAAGGCCTCACCAAGAAAGGGAACTGGATAGGGAGTCAGTGGGGGTCAGGGAAGGAGGGGAGAGAGAGGGAACTGGGATTGACATATAAAACAAACTTGTTTCTAATTTAAATTAAAAAAAAAAGAATGGGCGAAAAGTATCATGAACACCCTGACTAAGATTCTCCACAAACATTCCACCATCATCACTTAGCTGATAGACATTCACAGTTGGAAGAGTTTGGTGATGTGGGTAAGTCTCACCTCTGGGTATCCAGTCAGTCTGGGCAACAGGTGAAATGATTCTACTTGGAGATGATTCTGTGTCATGAACTCAGCAGTGAACTCACCAGCCTCTACACTGCTACTACCAAATATTCAGAGCAGAGAAGGAGGAGGAACACGTACTGGGCTGTTTCACCTTTACCATCTCCTTAGACAGAATGTGCCATTTTCACCACCAGCAGACAAGGAAACACTGGCACATAGAAGATTTCCACGTTAATATAGACGGACACAAGAGTCAAGGGTAGAGCTGCATTAAATTTGAATTCATGCCCTGTGTTCCTCTGCTGTCATGGAGCTTAGGGCTGGTTTCATATTATGGAGTACGTGAACTGTAGGATAATTACAGAAATTCTAGAATGTAAATTACATAGGACATAAACATAATGAGCAAGGCTCATGCACTTGCTCAATAAAGGTTAGCTATCATCATTAGCATAATGCATAGCATAATATATTATTTAATAAATAAATTCTTACTCCTAATTCATTTCATTTATATCATAATACTAGCTACCATTCCCTGAGTTCTTTTGACTATCTTTCTCATCCAGTTTCTACATTTTGCTGGGTAAAACTGGACACTGGTTTTACAAGTGAAGAATCACTTCAGAAAGGAGAAAAGACTTGCATAAAATTCTCAAAGAATTATATATACACACACATATATCTTAGGGTTTCTATTGCTGTGAAGAGACAGCATGACCATGTCAACTATTATAAATGAAAATATTTAATTGTGGTGGGGCACTTACAGTCCATTATCATCATGGTGAGACATGACAGCATGCAGGCAGACATGGTGCTAGAGAAGTAGGTGAGAGTTCTACATCTTACAGGCAACAGGAAGTGGTCTGAGACACTGGGAATAGCTTGAGCATAAGAGAAAGCCTACCATCACAGTGACACATTTCCTCCAACAAGGTCATACATCCTAATAGTGCCACTCCCTTTGGGGGCAATTTTCTTTCAAATTACCACTGTGTGTGTGTGTGTGTGTGTGTGTGTGTGTGTGTGTGTGTGTGTTCTTATACATGTGTATGTACTTTTAAAACTTAAGGAAGCAAAATGGGAGAATTTGGCCAAAAGTAGATAATTAACATGAAAGAATAATTCAAATTTGTTTCCTCCCAATGTTCAGGCTCTCAGCCCCTCCATTGTCCTGCCCCTACCAGTTGAACTTTCTTTCACAAGAAATGACATATAGTTTATAAAAGGGAAGGAAGGATGGAATTAACTTTGCTGAAAGTGATTCTACTCCTAGAGTTGCAGCAGAAAGGACCTTGGAGATGGGGAGAGACTGAAGACAGACCTTCAGGGGAAGTGGATCAGCTCTCCTAGCTGAGGGTTTGGGCATCTCTATCAAGCCTTAGCGTGTCTAGGTGGCTCTGCTGCACTTCAGTGACAACATGAGTTTGGAAAGTCCTCTGTTGAGAGACGGACATAATGTTGTACATCTGAAGGCAAGAAGAAAGATTATTTTAGAAACATAATGCTCCCAGTGGAGTCTTCAGAGGCATGTAAGAAGGAGAGCTCTTACAGTCAATGACACACGAGTCTCATAGATAACACTGTCTTAGAAGGGATGGGATTAAAAGCAAAGATCATGTTCCCAGGAAGTGAGAAATCTTCACTTTTACAGAAGACAGTAAGAGGAAAGGGCTGGAGGAGAGCTGCACCTCTGTCCCACTGTACACTTTGAATGTAAGAATCTGCATCCCCTAATGGAAGCCTGAGCCAAGAGTATTTTACAATGACCAAGACGTAAATGGCATGTTATGGTTTACCACTGTAAGGCCTGCTGAAACCACCAAGGTGCCAAGTAGGTCAGTCCTCAGACACGCCCACTGAGCCAGGGAAACTGGGTGAACAAATGTGACAGCAATGTTACTATTTGTTGTGGCTGAAAGAAAATGGCCCCCAAAGGGCATGACACTTTTAGGAAGTGTGGCCTTGTTGGAATAGGTGTAGTGTTGTTGAAGAAGTGTGTCACTGCAGAAACAGGATTTGAGGTCTCATATATTCTCAAGCCGAGCCCATATCTCAGACCACTTCCTGTTGCCTGCTTACCAAGATGTAAAACTCTCAGCAATTTCTCCAGCACCATGCCATGTCCCACCATAATGATAATAGACTGAGTCTCTGCAACTGTGAGTCACCCCATTGAATGTTTTCCTTTACAAGAGCTGAGTTGCTGTTGTCATGGTGGTCTCTTCATTGCAATAAAAACCCTAACTAAGATGCTGTCATTTCAGCAAGAACTTAGTGTAGGGAAAACTGTGTCTTTGGGGACGAACAACAGACCTGAAGACAAAGGAAAACATATTAAGGCTTTATGCCACTTGCTTGATAGTCCTAAAGCCATTCCATCATAGCAAAGAAGGAAATAGACACATGGAGTTTGATATGGCTGTTCTGTAACTTCGAAAGCGAGCTCAGGCGTTTGACTAAAATGTATAGAGATATATTCTAAATAATGTAGCATGTCTTGACATTTAAATGGATTAGCTGGCAAACATTGTGTTGGACCATCTGCCACCCTGTCCTAAACTTTCTGTAACTAAAGATGCATGAACCCTAGAGAATAAGCATTAGGTAAAATAGATTCATTTTATATAATTGAACATAATTGTGCATGTAATGTTTTAACGTAATATTACCCAACAGCTGTGCAAATAATAGAAGGGTTACTCACACAGACCATATGCTGGCAATGAGATACAGCAGCAGCACTGCTAGCCGACCAGTGAACTCATAACTTCACTGGGATGATGTGTGGCTTGCTTTCAAAAGAAGTTCAAGTGGAAAACAGATGTTGCAATCGAGCAAAGGGGCAATGCATTCTGACTCCTGTACCAGGCGATGGGTGGCAGCGTGCCTGCGTTCAGTCTTCCTGTCCCACCACAGCGTGCTCCCCAGAGTCAGCTTTGCTGCATGACCCTCTTCTTTCCCATAGCTTCCAAGACATTCACAAGAGTCACCTCGTGGTGTCGCATATTGAGTAACACATGTAGACACTTTCTCTCGTTTTAAGCCTGTTTTGAAACCATAAGCGAGTAAGCTCTAGTCTAGAACTAGAATTCTAAATCCATAAAAACTTTTATTTGCCTTTTCATTAAACTCTTTCACATATTTTAAGTAAATCATCCATTTCCCCCATCCTATGGGTAGGCTTTTTTATTCCAACATTAGAGATGAGAATATTGTGGTTCCATATTTCAACCAGTAAGAGGTTTATTGAATTCCTGTAGGGAACAAGTTCAGACAAGCATTTGTGCGCTGGGCTACAATATTAGATTCAACACCTACCTGATCTCTTCCCTTAGTTCCTTTAGTGTCTCACAGCTAAATGACCTTGGACACTGCCTAGTATGCTTATCAGTCCTGATCCACAATTATGAAAAAGGACCAAAAATGAATTAGAATGTATCTATACATACTCCTTTGGTATAAATATTCCCTTTTTACATCTCACAAAAATGAAATCAGTGTATTCTATTTCAGTCCTTGATGCTGTTAATTCTATTCCACATCCCCTTCACCAACTATATCATTATTTCCAAACCTGTATATAGTAGCAATTTCAAGTCTGTGGAATAAGATGAGACATACATTTCTTCAGTGTATTATTATGCTAAGAAATGTCTTACCTTAGGCAACCTAATGTAAAATGCCTCAATATTCATGTATTAGTCATTTCACATTGTTCTGTTTCTACTACTAAAGTGTGGTCTCAGGAAATACTAGAAGAGAATTTAACTGCACGAATGCTAATATGTGCAGTGAAATGAGGATACCACAAAAGTATTGCTATGCTAAAAGTTAAATGTGCTGTCACCTAAGAAAATGCTTTCATAAAATGACCCTAAATTCACATAAGATAATGAAAGAATAAAGATGAAAACAAAAGAATCAATATAATATATTAAGGATAGGAATCAGTGGTCTAGAACACGTGACAAAGGAAAGCATAAAATTCTAGAACTGGAACAAGTTACTACAATTGCTCAAATCCTTCTATCACCATGTAATGGCATTTTCACTGACACTTGCACAAACATAATAGTCTCAGAGTGCTTGAAGGTTGAGAGAAGGTTATGAGAAAGAGTAACTAAAGCCAATAAATATCAAACTTGGGGCTGACATTTGGTCTCAAATCCCTCCGTGTTTGCAAGAATTTCGGCACAGGTGTTAAGTACAGTCTCCGTATGTTCAAATCAAAGGCATCACAGACTCAGAACCAAAAGACTGCTAGCTTAAATCCGTACTCTTTTTGGTGAGGAAATTAGTTATTTTAAGGTATGGTGAAAATAATTTAGCTTAATCTCAATTTACATAAAAACCTGGAGATTAACTCAACCTGTCAAATAGAGTCCTGACCTCTCAGTTTCCTTTCTAAACCTATTCCAAAGGGATCTGCATAATTTGTATGAGGGATTACAGTTTAAAATATAATTAAATAAAAAGAAGAGATTTAGTAATCCCTTAATCTCCCTGATCTTTGGTTTCTTTACTAATAAACTGAGCAACTAGAAATTGGGTTATGTTTCTGCAAAAATTGTACAATTATCTGAAGACATTGACAATCCAAACACAATAAAATGCTTTTGTGGTTCACACCCAGCTGGAAATGAACACATGACTTAAAAAAATCTGTGCCATGCCCTTTGCCCAATTAGCTTCAGAAAGACCTGCTTCAAGCTTTATAATTAAATTCCAGAAACATCTAATTACATCTCCCCACCTTTCTGCAAGAATAGACCCAGAAGATATGACAGTGACTCACAAGCTCTCCCTCTTCCTGTTGTCATTTTCTGAAGTTTACTCTTTATATAGTGTCACAACATCCTGGTTACAATTGTGCTCTTAGAGGTGTCTGCTCAGTTACTACCCTCTCTGTCTTCCTGCTACTCCTTTCTAACTACAATTTACTGAACACTTAATCCAACCTGAGTCAATGAGTTCCCGCAATCCTAGGATCTGACATTCAAATCTAGAGCCCCAAGTCACTCACTGGTAAGAGCCAAACATTTGATATCTACCTAAGTGTCCATCTCCCACCATATACATAAAAGTCAAAAAGCAAAAGAATACAATCCCCAAAAAGAGAAGATGAAATCCATTCTGAGAAAAAGAAGAGAGGAAAACAGAAGAACACAGAGACAAAAAGAGAAAGTAAGAACAAACCCATATCTAGCTTGCTGACTCCAGGCACTTGCTGAAGCTCAAAATTTATAACTTACCTCTACGTCCCTAAAAAATGTTCCATCTGCTAAGCAACACCAACTACAAGCCCCCACTAGGAATGCACAGGCAATAGGCTTCTTTATATTTTATTAGTTCCTACCAGTGGGAAAATATAATTTCTATAATTAATTTTATACTCCAAAACACTTATAGCGACTCTGTTTCTCTGATATAACACCAACTGACACATAAAAAATCTGCAGTTAGATCATGTGTCGTTGCATTTATTAGCAGTATGATTTCAAAAAAAAGAAAATCACTTCTCAGAGATTCAGGATTTTGTCATTTATAAAACCTGAGATAGTAATTCCCGCTTTGTAGGCCTCTTAGAAGGGGAAATGTATTGAAGGATGCACTAAGAGATTTCATATATGTATATCCATATATGTAGTGTTGCTTATGATGTTGTAATTGTATCATCATTATCTTCTTGATTATTCAAATAATCCTGTAGACTTACTGTATATTACAAGTTCATCTTATTAACAAGCTTCAACTGTTGGCATGTCCTCCCAGAGGACACATTAATAGAATTTAGACACAATTGTTTGGCCTGAATCTTAATTCAGAGTTGTGATACCCTACCAAGAAATGATACTCTAGCCTGGTAGCTGGGTTTTTGTTTTGTTTTGCTTTTCAGTTTTTTGTTTGTTTGTTTGTTTGTTGTTTTGGGTTTTTTAAATAATATTTGATAAGTCCTTGTCTTCATCTTTAGAAGACGGTTGATATCCAAATGTTCATCATAATGTGCTGTGATTCCCATCCTGAGCTTTGTCCTTTTGATTTTTCTCCCTTAAATTCCCATTTACCGGGACTGCACTGTGGCCTCCAAGCAGAAAGAGGCCAAGGCAACATCAGAAAAGTGCTGATGTGACAGTTACAGTCTGAAGTGGTAGCAGTCAGTGCAGGGTTCAGAGAGTTCAGCCAAAGGGCAAATGTTCAGCACAGGAACATTCCATATCAGTGGCAGATGGACCAGTGGCCACAGACAGCATCTCAGAAGGAGTCACCCACACATGCTGTGTGGCCCCAACAAGCAAAGTTCTCTGCAGGAACTTTGGGAAGAAAGCATAAGTCTGGCATGGCTGCGAGTCTCCAGAGGAAGTTCTCTGTTTTTAAGCTCATGAATTTCACTTTCCTAACCTGACAAAAGGTTCCATGTTGGATGACACACGGAAACAGGATGATTACACAGGAACCATCAGAGAGACAAGGCTGTCTGCTCATATTAGATTTGATGGCTAGGCAAGACATATGCTGCTGATCTGTAAAGCTGTAAGGATGAGAAAGCCTTAAATTGGGCTAAGGTGACTTAAGGAGGTATTTGGGATGCCCTTAGCTTCAGAAATAAAATCTAGCCAATGTCACCTCTGGGGAAAGAAGAAGGACAGATGCTTGAATCCCATCTTAAGGCCACACAGTAAATAGAAATCTAATATGAAGAGAAAGAACCAGAACGGAGAATAAAAAGAGTAAGTAAATAGTATGGCCTGCTTCTCCTGAGGTGGAGGGAAACATTAGAATATCACACACACACACACACACACACACACACACACACACACAAACGTACCCCACCCCTGCAAAGCCTCCAAGACATTCCGGACACAAGAAGCTGCTGCTATGGAGACTGGAAGGAAACCATGGCTTATCTCATGTACCAAATATTTATCAGGGTCCTAGTATGCACTTAACTCCACATTCAGCCTCATTTGGGACTACATGAATAAGACTCTAATATTGAAGCACATCTCAGAGAGATGCAAACTAAAGGCCCTGGGATCTTTTCTCATAAAAGGAGCATTCAATCTGTTCTGTCAAGAAAGAAGTTGAAATCATAGAGGGCTTTGTCATTTAGAATTAAAGGGCTAATTTTGATCTGAAAGTATAAAGAGAAAGCTTTATAAATAGATCATTTCTATAAGAACTCAGCCTGTCCTTTCCAGAAATGATGACCTGTAAGATGTTTGTCCCTGAAGCTATGTAGTGCTGACTGATGGCCTAGTTGAAGGAGTTGGTTTCCAGCTACTTCATCTAAAATCCCCTTTAGCCAGTTTACAGAATCCATATAGTCTGTCCTGCAGCAATATGGGGCTTCTGTGAATTCCGTCTGCCCTCCCCTAAAGTTCCTTCCTCTAATGGCAATTCCTTGGAGGCCAAACTGTAAATGAACCAAACACAAGCAGACCCACCTCAGAACCTCAAATTACTCTTCTGGGACCTAAGAGATGTACTTGTTATTTCAGAGAACCAGAGTTCAATGCACAGCATAGACATGGAAGTTCACAACTGTCCATAACAGCAATCTCAGGGGACCTGATGCCCTGTCCTCACCTCATGGGTGTCAAGAAAGCATGTGCTTGGTATGTACTCACTCAGATATGGATTTTAGACATGAATCAGGGGAGTGCCAGCCTATAGTCCCACTGCCAGAGAATATGGGAAACAGAACCTTCAACCAATGACTGATGGAAGCAGAGGCAGACATCCACAGCTAAGCACTGAGCTGAACTCAAGGAACCCAGTGACAGAGAGGGAGGACTGATGAACATAGGGGTCAAGACTGGCCTTATTTAACCCACAGAAACAGCTGACCTGAACAAGGGGAGCTCTTGAACCCCAGACTGATGGCTGGGAATCCAGCATGGGACTGATCCAGACCCCCTGAATGTGGGTGTCAGTGAGGAGACCTAGGCAATCTATGGGGCCTTGGGTAGTAGATCAGTATTTATCCCTGGCATACAAATGGACTTTGGGTGCCCATTCAACAATGAGAGATGCTCTCTCAGCCTGGACTCTTGGGGCAGGGCCTAGGCCCTGCCCAGGATGAAATGACAGACTATGGACACCCCCCTGGAGGCCCTCACCCTCCCTGGGGAAAGGAGTGGTGATTGGGGGAGGGGGAGGGGGGTTGGTGGGAGGAGGAGAAGGAGAGGGAGAGGAAGCTGGGATTGACATGTGAAGCAACCTTGTTTCTAATTTAAATTTAAAAATGAAAAGAATGACAAAAAGAGCATGTAGTACATATACATACGTGTAGGTAAAACATTCATACACAGAAAATAAAAATAAACTTAAAAACACTTCTAGACTACAAATGAAGATCAGATGGAAATAGACATGTGCACATGTGTAGGGCTAGGGCATTCTTCAAAACCTAGAACAGTATGCATGGGACTAAACAGAGACACATCCTCTTTTGCCTTCCTGGTGCAGTCTTAAAGGAGACCTATTTGCCTGAAAGTTGTCTTTGTTAAGTTCCAACTTGTTTTTTTATAACAAAGTTGGTGTTTTCATAGTTAAAATATGATCATGGTTGAAGATTTCCTTTAAGAAGTCGATGGAGAGCTAGATTAGAGGTTTAAAGCACTCGTTGCTCTTGCAGAAGACCCTAGTTCGATTCCCAGTAACCACATGGTGGCTCAAAATCATCTCTAACTTCGCTCCCAGAATGCCATCTTCTGGCCTTTAAGGCACTACATGCATGTGGTACCCAGACCTGTACACGAGCAAAATACCCATATACATTAGAGAGAGAGAGAGAGAGAGAGAGAGAGAGAGAGAGAGAAAGAGAGAGAGGAAGGAAGGAAGGAAGGAAGGAAGGAAGGAAGGAAGGAAGGAAGGAAGGAAGGGGGGAAGGAAGTCAATGTCTCTCATCTGCATTAGCTACTTTTCTGTTGCTGTGGTAAAACTCCATGGCCAAGGTGACTTATAAAAGAGCATTTAATTGAGCTTACAGTTCCACAGAAATAGTCTATGGTGGCAAAGTGAAGACATGACAGCAAGAACAACTGAGAGCTTATATCTAAATCTACAGATAGGAGGCAAAGAGAGCACACTGAGGATGCATGGGTCTTTTGAAACTTCAGAGCCCACCCCAGTGACACACTTCCTTCAATAAGGCCTTACCTCCTAATCCTTCCCAAATCTTTCCACCACCTTGGGACCAAGTATCCAAACATATGGGCCAACGGGGGCCATTCCAATTCAAACAATCCCATTCCACTCCCTGGCCTCTCCCCCAGTAGGTTCACGGCCATATTATTATTCAAATGGCATTTAGTTCAATTTCAAAAGTCCCCATAGTCTTTCCATGTCAACACTATTTAAAAGTCTAAAGTTCAAAATCTCTCTGACACCCAAGCCAGTCTCTTAACTATAGCCCCATGTAAAATAAAAAAATTACATCCAACATACAATGACACGAAACATACAAAAGAGAGGAATCAAAAACAAGACCAAAAGCAGGCA